TTCCTTTTGTGTTAATGTTCAAAGCTGTTCTGTGAAAGAGTTGGTTAGGCTTGCTTCAGACTGGCTAGTGCTAGGGTCTGATTTATGAACATCCTGTTGTCTTGGGCCTCTGTGGAATTCGGCTCCTCATGTTTCAACCATGTTTTGACCAAATCTTAGATTGTCTGATTCGGTCTGATATCCTACACATGTCCCAGGTTTCCCATGTTGATTGTGTTTGATATTGTTCCCAGGTGTTCCCCATGTTGATTGTGTTTGATATTGTTCCCAGGTGTTCCCCATGTTGATTGTGTTTGATATTGTTCCCAGGTGTTTCTCATGTTGATTGGTTGTTGATTTCAAGTGTTCCTCAATGTGTCCCTCCTCTAGTCTAGTATATAAAGTGTGTTCTGCCCCTTGTTTCCTGTCCGGTATTGATCGTCTATCCCCGTGTCCTACGTGTGGTTTTCTTTGAATGTGAAATAAAGTCTGTGATGATTCTGGATTCTCCTTCATCTCCTCGCTCCTTCACAGGAGGCACACCGTGACAGAATACCGGACCAAAACAGTGAGCGGCGCCTCTCCTCCTCGTGTTTTTGTTTTCCCGTTTGTTTCTCCCTCCGTAATGGAAATCGCCGCTCGTTTTATTGCTCTAGCCCGTAGAGATCTCTCCTTCTTTGAGTACGCCTGGGAATTCTGCGGGCTCGCCGTGGCAACGGCATTGGATGACGCCACCATCAATTCTCTGTTCTGGGTCGGGGCCAACTACCATCGCCCCATGGACCTCCCGTTCCTCAGTCAAGCCCGCCGGCCGCGGCTCTCTCCAGCCCGCAGGCCGTTCCTCAGTCAAGCCCGCTAGCCACGGCTCACTCAAGCCCGCCGACCACGCCTTTCACCCCGAACCTAAAGGGGAATCTAAGGAGGAGAAGGCGGTCGGCTTCAGCCCCAGAGCTCGCTCCAGTGTCGGCTCCAGCCCCCAAATCCAGCCCAAAGAGGGCTCCTGTTCCCGAGTTTAGCCCACAGAGGTCTCCAGTCCCCGAGTTTAGCCCAGCGAGGTCTCCAGTCCCCGAGTTTAGCACAGAGAGGTCTCCAGTCCCCGAGTTTAGCACAGAGAGGTCTCCAGTCCCCGAGTTTAGCCCAGAGAAGGCTCCAGTCCCCGACTTAAGCCTACAGAGGGCCTCTAAAGACGACATTCTCCCCAAGGATTTTGGGGGGGGAGTATGGGTCCGTCCGTAGTGGCCGGGCCGAGTGGCGAGGCCAAGGCCACGGAGGCCGTCCAGCCATGGCCTTCTGAGTTCCCTGCTCCGCCATGGTCTTCTGAGCTGAGAGGAGATGAAGGAGAATCCAGAATCATCACAGACTTTATTTCACATTCAAAAGAAAACCACACGTAGGATATGGGGATAGACGATCAATACCGGACAGGAAACAAGGGGCAGAACACACTTTATATAATAGACTAGAGGAGGGACACAATGAGGAACACCTGAATACTTGTATATATATTTATATTATTATATTTTATATTATATATAAATATATTTAATATACAAACATAACATATTTTTCTTAAATATATACATGCATATGAATAGCAGGTAGCCTCTCTTTCTTGATGGCATGTGTCTGTCTTTCTGTTTGTCAATTGGGAGGCACTCATTGACCCCCAGCGGTTGGGGTCGGCCTGCTCCTCTCCCTCCCTCTTTCACTCTTTTCACATACGCTAGCAGTGAACAAAAGGCACTCTCAGCTTTGTTCCAGCTTTTCATAGCACACTTTCACTCTTTCACACCAAAATCTCAGCTTTCTTTCTCCTATGACAATCCAAGGCAAACAGCCTTAACTGTAACAAACATACACAAAAACCCTTTTTGTATTACTGCAGTTTAGGCAGCTAGGTTTTGTAATGCAGGGTCCACAACATTTTTTTTTAAATGTAAGTTTAATCTTTTGATTTAAGATTGTTATTGTGTGTTTGTGTATGTATGTATACACACACACAAACATGCACATTTAATGCATTAATGCATAAGAGAATTAATAAAATTAAAAACATACAGATATGTATAGATTTTTAAAGCGTATTTGATAGACAGTAAGAGAAAAATATAAGTGTTTCAATATTAATATAAAAAGTGTATTTAATTTAATGCTGTTAAATGTGTATACATTAATGTATTTAATGCAGTATTTGACATTTGACATTGTAATACACATGCATTTGATGGCATTACGTTAAAAATGAATTACATTTTATATAATTTATTTATAATAATACATTTTGTACCTGTTTTTCATTTTCATATATCTCTATATTTTTAATAATATATTTTTGTAGATATATAGATAAATACTGTAGACAGACAGACATCAAGGAAGATATATAAAAAAATATTTATTTTAATATGTTAAATGTATATTTAAATGCATTTAAGGCAGTTAATAATTTAACTATTTGACATTTATACAACTGGTTTAGAATGGATTTATAAACATAAAGTTGATTCTGATTGGTTAATATAGCATTGCAGATGTGCTGTGCCTAGATATTTATATTTTAATGCCACATTCAGCTGGTCCAGAAATGTCAACAGGGAATGCTTGAGTGTTCAATAAGAAGACCTGTTTGAATGGCGAAGGAGGAAATTGCACTTAATATATGTGTTGAATAAACTGTTTTTGTAAGCTATACCAGAATTTGTCGTACTGCAAACAACAAAAGCAAAACAATTCACTTAAATTAAGGTGGTGTTTAATTATGACCTAAGCTAAAAAGGTAGGAAATATCACCTTTGAGCACCATTAAAGGTGCTCTTAACAATTCAACATGTGTCAGATGAGATTACTCATTGATTTACCAGTGTTAGCATTGCATTTGTTTGACATTCACGCCCCTTTGTTTTTTGTTTATTTGACCATGACTGGGATCTAGTGAATAATTGCAGAACAATATGTAGACGATTAAAATTAGCCAGAACGGAGGCAAAGAACACTAACTCAGTGTGCTAATTGTAATGGCCCAAATCACATTGCTCCAAGTGTTTCAGCTAATATGTTGAGTCAATATGGAAATGGAGCACATAAAGAACAGTGATTAACTACTGACCACACAATGACCCACAGCTGTGATTGCCTCATCTGTCATGTCATTATTCTCAAGTTAATTATCTTGGGAGAGAAAAATATCTTCATCCTAAAAGGCTTTAATGATCCCCATGAAGACAAACTCATTCTGTGCTATCAATGTGATGTTATCTAGCCAGACGTCCTAGAGAGCGATATCACAGTTGTCAGTCTTATAGCGTACTGGAAACTGAACGACAATTTCCAGCCAATGGGAACAATTAGTTGTTTTTTATTTATTTATTTCATGTCTCAGACCCTCATAATCATATCTCACAACTGAATCTGTGTTTATCTACCTTACATGACTTATTTATTTGCTAGTAATTACCTGACATATTTAGCCAGTAATTGTCTTTTATAGGGAGCTATTAGGATGAAAACAGTTAATGCTTGTTTGAAGGCAGGTCGACTCACTCATTAAAACGGGGGTTCGGGTAAAAATGCCTTGTGGCTCATCACTGTTGCTCACTCTCCGGGAGCCTGTCTCTGTCTAGGCATTGTTCGTGGAAGAATCGGTGATGAATGGGTTTTAGGAGAACAACGCCGTGGCCCTATTAACATGTGGCGTTTTGTTTTCTTCTGCGATTCGTCACCCCCCGCACAAACATAGACAGCCCCACAAAATGAATCCTTACACACTCGCCGGAAGAAAATCAATAGAGTGATTTAGCAGCTGCTGTAAGGCTCCAAGGACAATGGGTGAGTGTTTAGCCTCCTGATAGCGTTACGGGTAAGACAGGCCGCTATTTACCGTGCGGGTGCCAAAGCCGGTCATTGATTAGGGGTATGTGGCTCTGCGTTCTTCCTCAAGCCTTCATTTCCACCCAATCCATAACCATCATAGCCACTGTTTGTGTGTTCTACAACGGAGATGATACTTCATTGATCAGTGAGTTACTGTATGTGATTCAGAAAGTGCGCAAATAGGTTTATGAACTTGAAGAGTAAACAGTTACATAAGCAGTTTATGGCAGCCAAAGTATTTAGCAACACCACAGGGTCAAAAGTTCACTACCATTTAAAAGTTTGTCGGTTAGATTTTTTAGAAAGAAGTCACTTATCCTCACTAAGGCTGCATTTATGTTCTCAAAAAATATTGTTATCAAAATATTGATATGTTCTAAAATGTAATTTGTTCTTGTAATGGCAAAGCTGAATTTTCGGCAGCCATATTATTATCAATTTTGAACAGTGATGCTTAATATTTTTGTGGAAACTGTGATACAGATTTTTCAGGATTCTTTGATGACTAGAAAGTTTAAAAGTACAGCATTTATTTGAAATTATAAAGGTCTTTACTTTTACTTTTGAGACATGTAATGCATCCTTGCTAAATAAAAATATTAATTTCTTTAAAAAAATAATAAAATAGCAACAGTGTTCTGTATGTGGACGCCCACATTTAATTAGAAGATTTGTCTGTTTTACTTACACCCTTTACTAACAGGTGCATAAAATCAAGCATACAGCCATACAGTTTCCTTAAACATACATTTACAGTAAAATAGGGCCCTTTTCTGTTCCAGTGTGACATGCTCCTGTGCACAAAGCAAGGTCCATGAAGAAATGGTTCACTGAGAACCATTGAACAAATTTGGGATGAATCACGAGCTAGAGTCCATCATACCTGACCTCACTGATGCTCTTGTGTCTGCTTTACCAGAAAATTGGAAGCTTTTACAGAAGACCAGCTCCCTATTAATGCACATGATTCTGAAATTAAATATTCAACTTGCACATAGAGTATAATAGGTGCCCACACACTTGTAACCATGTAGTGAAGATATAAATGGTTAGTTGCAGGCGTAGAATTGTAACATTAGGTAAAATATTGCATTCACTTCATTGTTTGTGTTGATGATGCATCTAAATCTGTTCTATCCTTTATCTTACAGTTCTGCAGATGAAAAGTTTCGCTGGAACAACCAAGGTAACAGGACTGTTTTCTAGCTAAAAAGTGAATTTTCTTGCTCTTCAGCCCATTGTTTTGGAATCCATAATTGAAACCTTACAAGAAGGTGAATGTTGCATGAAGAGCACCTTTTCCAATGCATTTTGACAGTTGTCATCATCTAGTAGCCCACGTGGTAAACCGTGCATGTCAGAGTGAAACATGTTGACTTTTGACTTTATTGATTGTGCTACAGCAAAACGTTAGCCAAAGATGACAACCTCTGCCTTCCAGAACATAAAACACTGAGGAGAGGCTGAGATTGAAGAGCAAGAGCAGTGCAGCCCATAAATGATTCATGAGCTTGCGGTCACGCCACACTCTTTAAAATACTGGGCTCTTGATGAAGCATCAAAACAAAACCAGATTAAGCATCTCATTCTCATTCCTGGCAAGTTCAAATACAATTGTTTTTAGTAGATTCCTCAGTGTTGGCTTTTGTACTTCAAAATGTTTAGGCCTTAATCAAAATACATAGCTACCCAACTACCAAAACTACATTGTAAAAATGTTGTGAAAAGGTTGTGATAACATTTCAATTCATTTTGATGTTGTGTGTGTGTGTGTGTGTGTGTGTGTGTGTGCATGTTTATGGGGTTTATGAGGACACAAATTTGTATAATAACATGGTTATGACACAGGTATTACAACGAGAAGGTGATTTATGAGGACATTTTCAGTGTCCCCGTAATTCAAAAGGCTTATAAATAATTCAGAATTAGTTTTTTTGAAAATCTAAAAATGCAGAAAGTTTCCTGTGAGGGGTAGGTTTAGGGGTAGGGTTGGTGTAGGGCAATAGAAAATACGGTTTGTATAGTATAAAAACCATTACGCTTATGGAGAGCCCCCATAAACCATAAAAACAAACCTGTGTGTGTGTGTGTGTGTGTG